CAGGTGAAAAAGGCCATGTGGGTGTAATTTGGAATCACTCTGACACTTTATAGTTTGCTAACGCACCTAATGCTGTTCCCTGCGCATATTAAACACTCAGTAAGTGTTGCTAATTACTTTACTGGGCATTCTAAGCCCTGGGCTTAAAGTAAAGAGTCACATATATGGAGTATACTGAGACTCCTGAATTTCTGTAGCAGACTTTTGCTCTTGATTAATAAATTTACTCCACAGTGAACTGCTGTCTAGAATTTACCAAGGGACGACTGTATAATTTTTTTAAACATAAGAAATATCATTAGAACTTGATATGCAAACTTCAGAAGACCTAATAATTTCTAATTACACTGTCACACACCAGAGAACCATCAGATATTTTATACTGCATTTTTAATGTATTGCTAATACAAATGTATAACTCTTTGTTATAATATTATCTGAATAGTCTGGAAAGAAAAGAAAGGAAGAAAGAAAGAATGAAAGAAGGAAGGAAAGAAAGAAGGAAAGAAAGAAAGAAAGAAGAAAGGAAGGAAGGAAGAAAGAAAGAGAAAGAGAGAAAGAGAGAGGGAGGGAGGGAGGAAGGAAGAGAGGGAAAGAGAGAGAGAGAAGGAAGAAAGAGAGAAGGAAGAAAGAGAGGGGGAGAGAGAAGGAAGGAAGGAGGAGGGAGGGAGGAAGGAAGGAAGAGAAAGAAAGAAAGGAAGGAAGAAAGGAGGGAGAGAGGGAAGGAGGGAGGGAGGGAAGGAAGGAAGGAAAGGAGGAAAGGAGGAAAGAAAGAAGGAAGGAAGGAGCCATGTGGTTCCCAGGCCAACAAACAACTTCCTAGAGCTGAAGATTCGTCATGCGTGTTCCTATAAGCAACCTACTCCCACTGTGTCATTTGTCCTGTTAGGGTCCTTCTCCGGGTCCCAGCTCACCATGATATAGCCTCACTATTTAGTCCTCTGTCCTTCCACTTCGTTTATTTCTCTTGCTCCTTAGTGCCCAACTGCAGCCCCCCCTCCCGCGGAATTCCTCTTTGCATCTTACGCAGAGACATTTCATTAACTCTTAGACCAGGCCATGCCCAGAGAACTTCATCATAAACACAGCACCCAGTGAAGCTGTTCTTGTGAATGAAGGCTGTTCTTTCTGTAAGAAGCACACTCAGACTGAGCAAAACCACTTCAGTGCACTGCCTATCACACACAAATAGCAGGGAAAACAAATCCTGCTCTGTGTACCAGCCACTTTCAAATACTTTCTCAGCTCGATCGGTGTATCTCTAAGTTTAGTATTATTATTATCATTTTTAGGTGAAGAAACTAAATGTCTCCATACAATTTAAAAATTTCCTAGGGTGAGTCAGATGTACAGAAATGTAACTTCAGTTCTTTACAACTGCACCCAAATTTCTGAGCCCCTCTTTCTGCTAATGGCAGAAAACACTGAATATTTCCAGACAAATGTGGTTTGGTCACTTCTTGTTTAAGAATTGGTCCCATTTGTGTACAGATTAAATGAGACTTGAGGTTCTCCCTCCACCTTCCTTTTTGTTGATCTGGTGAGTCCTGCTGCACAGATGTTCATGTCGGTCATCTTTGGCTTCCCGGGGTGCCTTCTGCCTAGGGTTTGGGGGTGGTCCTTCACCTTTGTCTTCCTTACTAAAGTGCCTCAGTTGGTTGTAACTCACCTAATTTCCAGAGAAACCGATACACGTGCCTCCTTGGCCCGACCTGGGCTCCCACTGAGGCTGCTGGTGCACCAAGACTCAGTCACGTCTCACACACATGCCTCTTTAGGGACCTTCTATCCACAGCCCTGCAGTGATGCCCCCTCTCCCCAATATCCTGAAGAGCATGTTGATTCTTAACTATCTAGAATTGCAGGAACATTTTCAGGTGTCCTGGTGCCTGCGTTGGAGCCAGAAAAGAGTGGAGAAATAGAGAATGTCCCAAGAATACAGTTCTGAGTGACACTGTGCAGCAAGTTACATTTTCCAGTTAAGTAGTTTCCAGAGTAGGTCAAGGAAGCATCAAACAGCAGCTGCAAAAGTGCCTTGCTTAACCGCAGTTTGTTCCAAAGGTCTGTGTTATCATCAGATACTGCAGTGCACTTCAGCTGTGCTTTCTGAAATTTTAAACACACACGCACACACAAAGAAAATCTTACTAGTTAGGGAAAAGAAATGTTAAGGCACTGTTGTAGATACTAGGTGACCTGATACCAATATATTAAGTCTTCAAGAACTTCTAATCAACACATTATTTTATTTTTTCTGAATTCTGTGCGTGTATCAAGATTACTTAACCACTTACTCGGGAGATGCTTGCAGTAACCGGGACTCCTAGCCTAGAATGATCACAGGAAAAATGGAAAAGAAGAAACCACTCTGATAAGTATAGATTGCTTTGGAAAACGCTGGGCTTTAAACATCTAGGGGAACAATGTGTGAAAGGTCAGGTCTTTTACCCATTTATCTAACTAAAGGTGTTCATATATCATTAGAAACCAAGGATTCTGTGTTGGTGCACTCTTTTTAATTTTATGTGCCTCCTTTTAACCAAAGGAAAGTGTTTTAAATATCTTTTAAATTTTACAGCTACTTAATGTATTTAGATTCTTCTCCGCTCTTTACTTCCAGATAAATGTGGACCATACTTGACACTTTGCATAAGCTTTAAGATGTAGCCTGCAACTGGTACAGAAGAACCTGAGAGCGATGATGCAGCGGTCTATGCACAGAACTTGGGTTTAATCACTGAGAACCTTTGTAAGCTTAAATTTGTGTAATGTACAAGATATGTCCTTACAGCCTTTTAAATAGTAAAGAGGATATTTGAGGAAGTCTGTATTGTTTGGGTGGGAAAAATAGGGATACGGACCATAGATTTTGAGGGGTTTTTTAGTTACTCACCACTGCTTCCGGACCTATTTCTCTTAAGCTTTGGAACGTGATCATCCCAGTGAGCACTAAGCATCCTCTCCCCTCACTCAGCAGTGAGCAGTCAGTATTTCATTTTCAAAGTCGCAGAGCATGAGAGAGACAAATAGCAGTATTTGCGCTGCGCCAGATGTCAGCAGGTCTTTCTGGATCATTATGGTGCTGTCTTTCCTCCCTAAATAATTTTTACAAATACACTGATGAAGACAGTTTTCTGTTATCTGTCTTCGATGGGTCATAAGTTGAACTAGCACTGTATTTTTTTCCTGAAAAATATGCAGAGTGGTGACATGGTGTTTAATACTTTGAATCTTATTTCTGCCAAAATGAGCCCAGCTGTAAGAAATGATGACCCCCCTCATCTTTGTAACAATGGCATGGCTTTCTCAGGTGTTTCCCTACTTTGAACATTAAGTCCCTATTTCTCTTAGGTTTCTCAGCTCCATCCTCCCAGAAATCCTTTGAAGACTACAGCTTTTGACTGAGTGACAGAACATAGAGGATGAAATTAGTTGCATTAAATTATGATATGACAAAAAGCCTTTCAAAATCTTTGTCACGATGCAACATTCGAGCAACAAGAAGCAAAACAGAGTACAAGTAGACCGAGGAAGAGAGTTAATATTTTGAAGGAAATTTTGTGAACTAGATCACTTGTGAATTTTGGAAGAGTCCTTGATGAATAGCCTTTCTGACTTGAGGATTTCTAACTTCAAAATTCTCCTCTACAATCATATGTGCAATCTCTTCTTTTTTTATTAATCTTTGGATATAAAATTAACTGTTACAGTGGTTTCTTGGTACACTTTTATATTTCTCAAAAAAGCAAATCTCCATGTCTAAGGTTGCTTTCAAGAAAATAATGGGGAATGGGACAAAGAATAAGACACACATTTCTATGTAACGTTTCATGTCTTCCTATTCATAAGTATATGTATTTAAACAACAGCATATATTTTGTAAATTACTATGAAGATAAATTGTCCTCTAAAGACAGAAAGCAAAGTTTTGATACAGATTTCCTTTATTTCTATCACACTTTGGATTTATTTTGTTTTAGTTTATTTTTTCCTCTAGAAGATCCAATATTTCTTACTTTTTTGTTTAAGTCTAATTCTACCATATTGGGTTGTAGGAAAATAAAATCTGATAGGTTAATAAAGTCACATAGAAGTCCGTCGTGAGTATGAGCATAATCTTGATCTTTGATTAGATCTGAGCTAGTAATATCTTGTGATTAATCAAAATGCGTTGTACTGCGTGTAGTATAAGTCATCTTCACAGATGGGGTAGAGAATCATCAGAGTTCTCTTGAATATTTGTTTTAATCCCTGCTAGGATAAAATGGCTTTGGATTTTTTTAAACTTTAAATCAGATTGAGTTCACCAAATAAATGACTAGGAAGAAATTTTGCAGTCTGGTTTTGCTAGGATTATAGGACAAAAAAAGAAGAAACTTGCTTTTTATTTCAGTATTTCAGTGTTTCATTGTACATACTTCGTATGTTCAAAAAAAGTTATCTTGTAAAATTTAACAAATATTCCTATTTATTTGGAGTTTGAATAAAAGTCTTCATAAAAGAGTATGACAAAACACACTTCATGGAAATAATGTTAAGGTTTTATTGTTCTGAACAGTACAAAAGATTTTTCAACACTAATAATTGCCTCTTCTCATTATGTAGTTCCAGTATGATTAACATCTGTTAACAAGAGCTTTCCTTCGGCAGCTAAGCTGCCTGACATCTAACACCCAGAGCCCAGCACGTGCTCCTAAACACAAAATGTTTACCGAACAGGTCTGTCATTTCAGCTAACCATTTGGGCCTCACAACACACAATTTCTCAAAAAGTTGCTCACCAAAAGCTATGAATTGAAACTGTCTACCCCAGAGCCATACTGGAGGGATTCAATAAATCCATGTCTATGATTATATTAGAATCAATGAATAAAAGAATTGAAAAAAGCTGTGTGATTCATCCAGTTCACTTCTAGACTGGATGAGTGACCCACATGTATTAAAATAAGAATGATTTAATTTTTTCTTTTCTTTTCTCTCTCTTTTTTTTTTTCTTGTAGGAGACCTGGTGAGCCTCCACTGGTAACAGGCTGGCTCCCTTACTTTGGAGAAGCCCTGAAATTAGCGAAAGACCCCATAGGTTTCATGGCTACTCTCCAAAAGCAGTATGGTGATACTTTCACTCTTCTCCTTGGGGGTAAGCAGCGCTTCTCGCCCCTCCTCACCTGTATCATAATTCTCACCTGTTCTTTAATGTCTTTATCTTTTTCTCTAGACAAAATATGGAATATTTGTTCCTTATTGTTTCATTTGTAGACTAATGCACAAGAAAGCTATATTTCTGAGTATAGTAATCCTCATGTTAAAAAACAACCAAATAATAGAATTCTCTTGAAGGCACCTAGAGACCCCACCCACCTCCTGTTAGCATCACCTGTCATTTGCTTTGGTGTGGCTTGCCTTTCAGAATTGTTTTACAAAAAGCTAGAATGTGTTAATGGACTTAATTTTGCAGAGCAGTTTTAGGTTTACAGAAAGTGGATCAGACAGTGCAGACAGCTCCCATATAGCCCCTCTTTCCCTGATCATTGTTTCCCCTATTATTAACATCTTATGTCAACATGGTATCTGTTGCAACTGATGAGCTAATGTTGATCCATCATTAGAAGTCTGTGGTTTACATTAGGGCCCACTCTTTGTGTTGTCCAGTTCCTTGGGTTTTGACAAATGTATGACGTCATGTATCTGCCATTACAGTATCCCACAGAACAGTTTCAGTGCCCTAAAAAATCTCCTGTGTTCCACGTATTCATTCCTCTTCCCCTCCCTTCTGAGTCCCTAGCAACCACTGATCTAGAATGTATTTTTAATTTAAAAATATTTGTTATGATTCTAACTTCAGTAAAATGTTTATGAAACAAGGGTGGAAAAAAAGCCCACTGCAGGATAACTACATATCCCAGCATCATTGGGCTGAGAGAAGAAGCTAGGACGTTCTCAGCTCATCCTCCTTTACGAGCTCTGTGCTACCCAGCTGCATCAGCTATTCCTCGGCTGCATAACAAGTCTTCCTCAAGCTTGATGCCTTCAGACAACAGTTGGTCTCACCTGGGTCTCTGGTGTGGCTTGAGTCATCTGGGTGCTTGGTTGAGGCTAAATGGCCCAAGGTGGCCTCATCACATGCCTGTTGGGGCCTCCTTGTCTGCATGATGTTTCATCCTCAGGAAGATGTCCTTAGATGACAGCTAGCAGAAGGGAGAGAGGAAAATGTGCAAAGCCTCTTGAAGTCTAGCCTCTGATGTTGCAAAACCTCACTTCCACCACTTTCTATTGGTACGAGCAAGTCAGAGGCCAACCCAGACTCAAGGGTGGGGAAAACAGATGTCCACTCCCTCCTGGGCAGAGTGGCAGTGTCACACTGCAAAGGGGCACATGTAGAAAGTCAGAAGGAATTTATTGTAGCCACGTTTGCACACGGTCTTCCCTATCAGCTTATCTCCTGGGCTAGCCATTCCTTTCCTTCACTTTCATCTGCAGTCTACATCCCGGAAGGCTGATCATTAATTACACCATAGATTATCTACACCCCTTTGCCTCTAACTTCTAGTTGGGTGTGCAGGTGGGAGGGCAGGAAGGCTGTGTTCCAGCTCTCCATCTCTCACTGGGCTCTCGTAACAGTTCCCTGTCCTTCCTGAGAACATTGAAGGCATCTCTGTCTCACCTAGATCCCTGTGTATCTACCAAGTGTACCTGTGTTTCACCTCTGTCCTTCCCCCTTTGCTCCAATTTCAAAGAATGTTCAAGACCATCCATTTACCTGTCCCCATGGTCCTCACTTCCTGCCTCCTCTGGGCTGATGTTGCATTATTTCTTCCTCACATGTGTATCTTCATTATTTCTCTCTTGGGTCCTTACCCTTAGCTTATAACCATGCTTAAGCTTTCCTATCTTCTCCTTCTAGTTACTTTTCACTTCTTTTTTTTTTTCTTTTCTCTCTCTCTCTCTTTTGCATTCAGATTTTTCAGGAGCATTGCCTACGTTCACTGACCCTGGTTGCTTAGCTCTAAGAGACCTTCTGCCTGCAGAGGTCAGCAGTGGGCCCTCGCCTGACTGGACCTCTCTAGCTGGTTGACAACCAGAATCTCTCATTCCTTCTCAAAACACTCTCTTCCTTCATCCTTTTGACACCACACCTTCTAGGTCTTTTGCCAACTCTGAATGTTCCTCATCTGGGTCATATTTACATATGTGTCTTTCTTTGCTCAACCCCTTTTATCCTTCTGTAATCAGCCTTAGAATTTTATGTTCTATTCCTAAGGAATTTAGGTGATTTCTTCTTACTGTAATTGCTTTGCCGAGCATCCAAAGCAATCTTTTGTACCTAGAAAACTTCATTTTGGAACTACCATTGCCTTATCATTGGGACAAAAGAATGATCCATTGGAAGAAATGGTTAGTACAGTTTAGCTCTCCTATGAAACACACAGTATTTGTTTCATCACAACTTACTCCTTTGCTTGGCAGCTGGCAAGTCGCTTCCAACAGCAATTGTATGCACTCTGATTTCAGAAGAATTAAATGGGAAAAAAATCCTGCATCATAGAAATGGAGAAATAGTAGCATACAGCATGATCCTCATAAAGGTCCCGAAGGCCCAGGCTCCACCTCGCTCTCCAGCCCCATCTCTTACTACTCCTGGCCATGTGCTTAATGCCCCATCAATACGCTAAGTTGCTTGAAATTTCTTCCTCACACTGTGCCCTCTTGTGCCTCTGTTTTCTCTTGTGGTTCTTCCTGCCAGAGTGCTGTTCTACTCTTTTTGAGTCATCCTTGAATGGTGACTGGCATGGACTCATCGCTTGAGGCCATCATCGCATACCACTTCTTCCCAAAAGCCTTCACTGACCCTTTCCCTCCCCGTGTTATATGTGATGCTTCCTTTCTAGGCTCCAGTTACTCCCAGTATCACTTCCATCGTAGCATTTAATAAATTGTGAATTTATTGCTAATTCACATGTCTATTTCCCTTCGCTACTTTCTAGCTCCTCTATTGCCAACATTTAGTTCAGAGCTCAGCACTGATTGATTCACAATAACTATGTGATGAGGAAATCCCCAGTACTTTACAGCTGATGAGATACTATAATACAAATAAAGGCCATCGCTGGTGCTTCTGTTCTAAACAAGCTTTTGGCTTCGTAATATAAAACTATATTCTTCACTTAAAAAAAAGTCAGCCTTACCTGAAAAAATTAAACCTTATGTTCCAATGAGTAGATACAACAAATAATTGAAAATTTCGGTTTTCCTTTTTAATACATTATACAAAAAGAACCTAAGATGATTAAGCAGTGAATTTTATTCACTTTTCAAAAAACAACCCATTTCTGCTGACACTTGATGTCTTAATCTTAGATACTGAAATACTTACTGAATTCCTAATGTCTAAATAATTTGACCATGGTTATGCTTTTAAACTCAACCGGTAGACAACCGTAGTTGAATATGCCCTGCTACTTTCCTTTGGCTTCTTTCTAGAGTTTGAATAAATTCCTGTCAAGAAATCCTTTTAATGTATGTGGTTCAAATGATCAGTTTGCAAAGTAGCTCATTTGGCAAATGTGAAGTGAGGAGCAGAGTCTTCCACCCTTGTCCTATAATATGATTTCAGTGAGTGTATGTTTTTGCATGATGAGCAAATGATTGTCATCCCCCAAAGTCTCAAGGGACATGGATGTCATCTTAATCAAGAAATTAAAAGGTACATCTTTTCATGGGAAACCACGTAAATTCATGACCTGTCGCAGAAAATAGTTCTCTAATTGGTTTTGTGTGGTGGTGCGGCGGAGTCATTTTCCCTGGATGTCACCCCCGCGAAGCACCACAGCACGTCATTGTCAACAGCTAGTGAAATCTCACTAATAAGAGCTTGGGGAGCGTGGAATGTGGCCATCCTCGTACAGTAAAAAGTTGGTTCATAGTCCACTCTTCCGACCGATATTTTCAGCTTCAGATTTAAAAAAATGTCTACTGAAGAAGCAGCTAAACATGGACACTAAAAGCTTATAGTTACGGAAAATTTCTTTAAAATTCAAATTTATCTCATATTTGTTGACTGGGCATTTCTATTCCAAATAGTCAAATAGTTGTTCTGAATTCCCTCAGTTGTACAGCATCAACTATCTGAAATACTTGGCATCAGGTAGCTGCACCTTCCTAAAAGAAGTAATTTTGAAGGAAGTGTAAAGGCTGTTAGGTTAGTAAAGGATCATATGCGCGTTATTCAGGAATGCTGGAGTTAATATCTTTAGGCCCAGTCAGCTCCTAAAAAGGAGAGAGAATGAAATTATTGGCAAAAAATACATTAAAAATTTGTACCCCATTTCAAATTTACTGCTCAAAAGGATGATTTTTTTTTGCACAAGTGAGTCTCATTTTGACATTTATATTTTAGACAAATGCAAACCCTGAAATTCTTTAAATCAATATTTCCTATCAACTGCCAAGAGCATTCTTTTCTCTTTTGAAAACACAGCAAAAGATATTGTTTCTATCTTGTGAGCTTTGTGAACTAGGCAACTTGCCTGTTGACACTTGGCATTCATTTACATGAAACCACACTGGAGCAAAAGTTAATTTTGCTCCAAGAATGCACGGCCTTTAGAATAACTTTTCAGATGTCCTTTGTTAAGAAATTTAAATTCATTTTATGAATGTATATGTGTTTTCTTAACTGCCTGATTAAGGATTACAAAGAAACTCTGGTTTTGCATCTCACATTAGCAGATGGTGGACAGATGGTTTAAATTAATATTAATTTTGGAAAACTTAGCTTAAATTGTTTATACTGAAGATTGAAAGTTGGAAAGCCAGATAGCATCTCCTGTGTGATTAGTACTTCCAAACCCACTTGAAAAGTAAAACCTAGAAAATCAAAATGTCTTACTCAGCAATCCACATCTTATTCAGAAAGGTAGTAGGTAAAACATAATGCCCTGATGTTGAAGAAAATTAAGAATGAGAAAAAAGAAAATACAGATCCTGAAGTGTGAAGAGCCTTGAAAAGAGTGAGAATTTTATTTACAGTTTGCTTTAAACCAATCAGTAATGATTTCTTTAAAGAACCTATATGCAACAACTGCTTATTTTAAAGTATTAATAATTGGCTTATAAAAATATTAATAATACTGGTGATTAATAAAACCAGACACAGCTTTCCACATTAGCTTTTACTTTTTATTTGAAATTAACCTCATAGTTTTGTTCCATATCCTCACCCCCGAGGAGAGAGAAAGAAAGGGCGAGAGAGGGAATACATGTGTATTTGTGATGAATTCTGCATAAAGAAATGAAACCGCTCCTTCAGTAGGCCAGTGGCCAGTATCTTAATGCTGCCATGGCTGAATGTAGTTTTGTCTTTCCACTTCGGTTTTGATGAATGTGGAAAATCAGTAAGAAAATTTCAAAATATTGTCTAAAATGTATTTACACACTGAACCTTATATACATTCTCTGAATGTTAGTGACTAATTTTAAAGAATTCTAAATAATAATAGTAATAATTCTGTAAAGATATTTAGCAAAATCATTTAGTGAAAGTAGAAAAATATGAATCACCGCCTGTGAAAATACACAGCCTTGCCTAAAATTGTATCTTTTGCAAAATAAGAGAATTGACTCTTTTTTTCAATTATTTGCCAGGCAGATGCTGGCAGTTTTATTTAATTAAGCTGCAATGGTAAAGCAGGTGTCATAAAATATGCCCAAATCCAGTTGAGTCTCTCCCTGGGGGGGTAAAAATTCCAGTGTAGTTTATGAATACAGCTTGGGATCTGACCAGAATGAGCAGTCACTTAGCCTTCCCCTCATTCCTACATTGAACCACCTTATTAGATACATTAAGGGGAAATAGAGTGAATAAAATTCAAGTCATATGATTTGTAGAAAAAAATTATAGCACATGTATGTTCATTTACATTAAAAACTTAAATTATGTTTTAAAACTGCAAAACCGAAAACATGTAACCTATTCCTAGGATTAGGTTGAAAATTATTCAAAACTTTATCCTAAATCTTATACCAAACTGAATTTAATTTCTGTGTGTGGTGCAACTAGGAATCTCCAAGATCTCTGCCAGCTTTGAGAGTCAGGCCATAGTATGACTCTGTTCCTCCTTGTGCCTCCTTATGGAATCACTTGATGCCCTTGTCAGAAAGAGAGACTTGTAGGTCCCACCTCCAAACCTTATGGATTGGAATCAGGCAGGAATCTGTATTTTCACCCAGCACTCTAAATCTGGACTGACATATGAGACCAGATGCCACCACCTCAGAGGACCCTCGTTGATAACTCCAGGCAGGCTGAAGCAGTTGCCATTTCCTGCTTCCCTTACACTGTGTCCCCCTCTGCTCTGTTACTGTCCCTAACAATACAGTGATTCTTTGACATCTTTATATCTTAGGAGGAAAAAGGATCCAACCGATTATCTGAATGTCAATAACTGTTGAATGAATTCATGAATGGAGGGGTGAAAGCACGAATGGATGGGTTCTAGTTTGGAATCCTCTTTTAGTCACAAATCAGTATAAGACCTTGGATGTGTTATTAAATCTCCCTGAGCTACTATTTTCTCATCTATAAACATGAAAATTTTGGTATTTGTGATTGGTTGTTAGTGTTGAATTAGACATTCATTTGTGAGTACCTGCTTCATACCACATCTTCATTTATTTGAATTAAAATTATTGTATCTAATCAAAGCTAAGATAGTACTAAATATGAAAAAGCCTTTTATGAAGTGTAAATAATCAGGAATAGGGGAGCATCTTGCCAATTTGAGGTGTTTGTTTGTTTCCTGTTTGTATTATTGGGGAGAAAATGAAGTGTTTAAGTAAGGAACTTTGAGGCTATTTAAAAGATAATTTAAATATCTTGGTACTTGGTTAAAATAAAAATTTGAAGAATAAATTATCTTTTTGAAAGTCATTAAGAATTTCACAATATTTAACTTCAAGCTTCTAGAGTTTTCCCACCTTCTCCCATTTTAAAAAGAGACGTAGCGGAATTTTGAATCAAATGGATTTTTATTAAATTTTTCAGCCTTTCCAGATGTTAATTCTTAAGGTCTTTCTAATTTTGATTAAGATATTTTCAAATTTCAGATTTCTTGTTTGTTTTGTTTTGCTGCCACATAAGCTCATATTCTTATTTGTTTCTTTTAGGAAAATACATCACATTTATCCTGGACCCTTTCCAGTACCAGCCAGTGATAAAAAATCAAAAATTAAGCTTTCGAATATTCAGTAATAAAATAGTAACGAGAGTATTTGACGTCAAAAAGTTGATAATGGATGATGAGATGAATGACGAGCTTCACACCTCCTACCAGTTTTTACAAGGGAAGCACTTGGACTCACTCATGGAAAACACAATGCAGAGTCTGAGACAAGTTTTTGAACCCCAACTCCTAAAAACCACAAGCTGGGACACAGCAGACCTGTTCAAATTCTGCAGCTCAGTAATATTTGAGATGACATTTACAAGTCTACATGGGAATTATCTGGCGGGTGATAGGAAGACATTTATTACTGAATTAAGAGATGATCTTTCAAAATTTGATGACAAATTCCCACAACTGGTATCAGGCATGCCCATTGAGCTTCTCAGAGATATCAAATCCATTCGAATGAAACTTAAAAAACACTTGACAACAGAAAACTTAGCTAAAATACAAGGATGGTCAGAAATTATTCAAAGGAGGCAGGATACCCTGGAGAAATACTATACACCCGAGGACATTGAAATAGGAGGTAAGAAACTTGTGAATGATGAGTTGTCTAAAATAAAATAATTTACAATAGACCTTTGAAATAAAAAGACAAAATGGCGACCTTGAAAATTTTTATGCTCTTTCTAATTGGCTAATGATAAAATGTTTTACTCTGAAACAACCCTTTGTGATAATTGATTTTTTTTTTTTTGCCGAGGTGGTAATGCAAGATATTTAACAGTGATAATGAGAAAGAGTATAACTAAGCTGCATTTACTCCTCTTATCTCATCCCCCTCCTCCCCACCCCCTCACACACACATTACATTTTAAACTATTCTCATTAAGCAGAAAATTAGACTTCAGAAGCCTATTGGTCCTCATTAGCATGCACTGATCCTTGGCTGGGTCTGTGTCCTAACATCTTTTAATTAGCACACTGCAAATCTAATCAGTGTAATAAACGCTATTAATCTTCCTTTTCACTTATTTTCTCCCAGCACATCATTTATCCTTTCTCTGGGCCTCTGTGACAAACACCACTTCAGCTATGTTCTGGACGATGTATTACCTTCTACGGCACCCAGAAGCTATGGCAGTGCTGCGTGACGAAATTGACCGTTTGCTGCAGTCAACAGGTCAAAAGAAAGGGCCTGGACTTTCCATCCGCCTCACCAGAGAACAATTGGACAGCCTGATCTACCTAGGTAATTTATTTTTATCTGTTATGAAGAAAAGAAGGTAGCTCTCTGCAAACTCAGTTTATCACTCAAAGCTGTTTACCAAGAGGTGGAGGACACAGCTGCCTAATTGACATAAAAACACCCATTTACATCAATTATAAATTATGTAGTTTAGAGCTGTAGGTACTCTCACTGCACGTAAACATTAAGGCCTAGGTAATTAACTATGGAAGGTATGCAAAAAACCAAAGCTTTGCAATTATTTGAAAAAAAAAAAAGTTCATGCCTGCTAAGTCATCTGATGCTGAGCATCTGCTGGTGGGCTGATGTTTTCCGAATACTGTTGCACAGTCCTGACAAGAAAGGTATTTGGGACTGAAAAAAAGAGTATTTCAGAGAAGCAACTTGTGCGCAAAATGTATTTGTTCTTCCCTAAAATGTTCTTCCTATGTTTTCAGGCAGAGATTAGAGTGTTCTGTACAGCTTGGAGTGTATGACTCTCAAAAATGTAGTAAGAGTGATTTCCCCTGGGAATTCATGATTTAAACACACTTGGGGAAGAAAAAAAAAAGGGAAGGAAGAAAGGGAAGGACTGAGAGAGGGAAAAGGAAAAAGCCACAACTACAAATTACTCCAGGTGAAATGTCAGTATTTTATAAAATAATCACTGACTCATGAGATATACATGGTCATTATTTCAAAAATGTGTGTTTTTCTATTTCCATGGAGGCCTGTGTGTCAATAACAATGAGCTTTTGATGACAGTGATTCTCCTTTTTGGATTTTGATAAGACCACTCTCCTTAGGGGAATGAATTTTAATTCCTGAAGTCTAAATTCCATCTCAGCGAATTGTTCTCTGTTCGTTCTGTGTTGACAGTTCACACTGTGGTGTCCTTGACGACACAGTATTCCAAGTCCTTTTGGACAAATGTAGGAGTAAGTCTTCATATGTAGGAGTAAATTGCTTTCCTCTTTTGACAATGTGGGCAAATCTTTTAGCCCACATTGGCCTCAACTTTTTACCTTTTAATTATGCTCCAGGTTCTTTGATGGGAATTTCTGGGAGCAGAGGCCCTCCAGGTCTTGACCAGTGGTGACCACCAGTCGGCAGTAAGAAGAATGGCCCAAGTGTTCTAGAGATTGTCCTCACCGGCTGGGATAAGACCGAGCAGAGGCAATAGCAGAAAACTTGCCTTATAGAGACAGCTGGCCAGCTTATTGAGTCATGCTGGTTTTAGCATACATTATCAAAGTAATCGTATATTTGCTTGGAGAAAGAAAATAATCCCAGCATTATTAAAATACAAATTTTATTTTGTCTTTACTTTCAGAATTACTAGGGAACAAAGGCACAAAGTTTGCATAAAGTTCTGAGTAGTTGCTTTCACATGGGCATACAGTATTTTCTGGGTAGAAGACTTACGGTTCCTCTGAAGATCAAGGTTGCATTTCCCATATATTCAAGTAATTTCCGTTGCATTTTATGAATCTGATGGTGTATACCAGGAAGTAAAGCAAATAAACTTTAAAGAATATGCATTTGTATTTTAAGAGTGACACCGTTGTTCCTCTTTAAAAAATCAGATGAAATTCATCAACTCTCTTTTTATCCTCAACTTCTCACTATTGAAAGAAAAGATCATTTCAAAATTGTGGTATTAAAGCAGACACGTTTAAATGTATTCAAGCAGAAGAAGTGGCAAGTTCCAGAGCTATAATTTGGGTCCACTTAAGTCCATAGTTTGAGCTAGAGATGTTCCTCCTGGAACCCTCGTAAATTTACCACTCACTTGTCATCAACAAATGAACTCCATCCCCAATCCCAGGAGCATGTAGATCTACCTGAATAAAGGCAGTGCCTTCAGCAATCTAGAAGGTGGACCCCACTCATCACAACCTCAGGTACCAGCAGAGGCCAGTGTTGCTCATTATGGGAATTTAATCTTCTAGAAAATAGGGTGCACTTTTTGTCTTTCTCCAGATAGACAGTTTTATGCAGATTGAAGCAAATTTTTATATGAATCAATTCTACAGCAAATAACCCCTTCATCTAGTCAGGTCAATCGTATGTCTATCAAAGAGTATGACCTCTATGTGAAAAGGGAAGATGGACAGAATTAAATATTTACAGGGCACCACATGGCATGAGTATGTGTGTGTGTCTTCTTAAAGAAAGAGATCTATTCTAAGTACAATTTCTGTAAAGAAAGATATCTTGAATTTTTATTTTTATAAGAAAAAAGATCACAAGGATGAAAGGAACACTACATTTTTGTTTTTAAACTGGGAAGGAGAATTTCCATAATTAGTAGAGCAAAGGGAAAGGAGTATTTTTTTAACAGAGATTTTACATGTCAGCATACATTGATGACCAAGCAAGGTTGGAGAGGAAAGTTAGCATGCTATAAAAATGAGTATCTTATTCCTGAACAAAAATGATTTCTTTTGTTGAGAGTGACCCTTGAAGACAGAGCCCCGTGGGGCACAGGCTGATTGTGAAACACATCACCATGCGTATAGTATTAATGGATTTATGCTTTTTTTCCCCAATGCTTTTGATAATCTTTCTTTATAACCATTCTGCCCTTTTCTTATAGATAAAGAAAAACAACTCTCTTGTTTTATATTTATGTAACTTATTATAAGGATTCTGCTTCTCAGGTCCTCACTAAAATTTTCCATCAGTGTTTTTGAATATACATTTAGAATCAATGAGTATACACCATGAGGTTCAGATAACCGTTACTTGGGACCTAATTCTTCTTAGGAACAGTTGCTGATAGAAGAGAGGTTGCTGATAGAAGAAAGTAAGCAGTTTTCAGTTTTCCCAGAAAGAAGAGCCTGGGGTAGAGGTAAGATTTAGAACGACAGGTTTCCAATATGGGAAAAAGGAAAGGAGAAAAGATGATTCAGGGAGAAGACAAAAAAATAAAAGATGATGCAAGGAAACAAAATTGAAGTTCTGATAAATGGATAGCAAATAATCTCATTGGGTACTACTTCTTCAAGATTCACCTGAATAATGCATATAAATCACTTGAGAAGTATAGGTTCAGTAAATGCCATCTATTTTTATGACCAAAATGATAATTTAACCTCCGTGCCCTCCCTCTGATGTTTCTATTGCTTTCTTCATTTTTCAACTATTTGTGAACCAAGCTGGTATCAAGTTCAAGTCTGCCTTACCCCACAGGAGTGCTCTTTCTGTGTATCACACATGAAAAGAACAGACATGCTCTAAATAAGAACATAAGGCAGAGTGGATTATAACTCCTGAACTGCTCAGGTGAACTGCAGGCCCCTAATTTTGTTCAGTTACACATCCTGAAAATGAGAAAAGGTGCAAAGGTGGTCCAAGTGAGAGATTTTGGAATAAAAGGAGGTGTTATAAAACTAGAGCTCGGCAAAACTTGTAATACCTTTTTTAAAGGAGGAGAGCGTATATTATAATAACTCTAGAACTAGAAGCTTGCAGTGATTCTCCAGCAAAATCCCATAAGAGATTTCTAAGCACACTGTTTGGGAGTAACTCAAGGGGGAAAGAAACAAACGAATGATCATTGGAAAAAATATTCTTTAATAACAAATAATGATTATGACGTTCAATCTATTAATGACTTCAATGTTTCAAGACAGTCTTATGGATTTATATTGTTTCCTATGATCTTCACCAAGATACTGGGGGGCTGGGGGCAGCTATTATTTTGTCAGTATTTTTACGGATGAGAAAATCCTCAGGGAGCCAAATAATTTGCCTGGTAGGGTCCTGGAGCTCAAGGAGAGAAGCAGGATCTTAACTGGGGTTTTCTGGCCACGCCCGTGCTTCTCCCATCAGACCCGTCTGATCCCAGAATCCTTTGAGTCCTTTTCCATTGTCCGAACTGAAAGGGGAGAGTTCTTTGCATCTTGATTCATCAAAGCCAGCTCTGATTTGCACGTGGGCGAGATCAGAAAATAGGGGCTAGATGGTGATAGAGTTAACTGTATTCTTAATTTCAGATGAGACGTTAGAAATGACAATATTAATAGTTATAATTTTACTGTGTGGCAGGCTTATTAGCTCATTTAATCATCATCAAGTATTAGCTTATTTATGTCTATGTAGATATTTATATAGATAGATGTAAATTTATATCTATATATAGAGAGATAAATAAGCTCAAATATAGGTTATCTAACCCTCAGATATTACTGTCTTCTTTTAACTGTTGGGTAACACAGTGCAGAAAGGTTAGTTAACCAACCCGAATCATGTAATTAGATAGTGGCAGAGCCAGAAATGGATGCCAGGTCTACCTAAGCTCAACGCTAACCCATAAATACTGTCACCTCAGGGAAAAGTGCCCCAGAAATGTACCAGAGATCTTGACCCCTATTGTTTACAAGGATATGTATCACAAATTCTCAAATGCAGTTGGATTTAAGGGTGAGATTGGGGCTAGAGGTTCACATCAGAATTTTGTGCCTTTTTAAAAAAATAAAAATAAGCTTTTCATTTTAGAATACTTTTAGATTCACAGAAAAGTTACAAAGAGAGTTCCCATATACCTCTCCCCCACCACCACCACCGCCACACACACAGTTTCCCTTACTATTAACATCTTAGTGTGGTATATTTGTCATAATTACTGGGTGTAATTTTGAAAAAGCTCATTCAATATTATAAGATAATTGTGTACTTGAAAAATTAAAAGTGTACATAATTTAGCCAGCATTAGTGAAGTTTAGCAAAACCTCTTCCGCTGGGGATACACAGAAGGTGTAAATTCTACTTCATGTTGGAGACTTCTAACTGGAGGAGAGGAGAGAGGTATCTTCCACAAAGTTGTACACCAGAAATCAGGTCATGAGATTTGTATATGTAACATAAGGAAATGCTGGCTAAAAAGTGAAAAATACTGATTTGGATGTTTGTCAAACTTTCTGCTCAGCACACAGCAAAGAGGGCTAGATAATGTAATGAAATGCTGGAAACAGGAGTTGAAAGGATTGAAAGGGAAATTTAATGAGAATGAAAATTAT